CTGGGCTGCCTCTAATTTTCATGAAATGTCTTCTAAATCAAAGCAGCGCTCAGGAGAGGCACAGTCTCTGCAGCAGTCCGGATAGAAAGAATCTGGCCAGTGGCTAGGTGGGGAATTAGATTCTTCCCATTCCCAGATGTGAATCTCCATAGTATGTATGGTTGTGTGTATTTCCAGGAAGAAATTCTGCTTATCAAAGTAGAAAAACAGATTCTAAACCTGCTATTAGTTTTTTTGTTTTGTTATTCCTTGCTTCTCCATTTTGCCTTTAGGGACATTGTGACACACTGTGGGCAGAAAACAAACGGCCCCAGGTTGAGTAAGTGGGAAAGTCTCGAAGTAGAAATAACCAAGACAGGCCTGTCATTTAATACATTTGAATGAGAGGAGAGTTAGAGAAAGTGGGTGAGAGGTCAAAATAAGTTCAGATCTAAGAAAGAGTTGTTTTATAAGATGGAAAGGAGATGAATGTGCGGTTGTGGATTGAGGATGTTGGTGAAGTTGGGAAGCAGGAGAGGTCCACTAGGGAGGGGTGAAGATAGTGTTTCGAGCTACAGTATCTGGAGCATATTTACTTAGAGGACAACTTATGTGAGTAATAGTAAATGCTGTGACTTAGGACCATTTCAACACTTAACAATATGAGTTTAAATGAAACCAAAGTACTCTTCTTTCCAAGTTATAAAAAGAAAACTTTAAATATACTTCCAAGAAATCCTGACCATAGCCTATAGATCTGTTTTAAAAATATCTCCAGCTGTCATTTCTTCATTTTTGAGCTTCAGTATTCCTGGAGTTGGTGGTTTGAGATATGTAACTTCATGTTAGGGAAAATGATGATAGGAGTTTTGTGTTTTGGGCTTTGTCTCTTGAAGGTTAAATGTGTTCTGGGTGGATGGGGGATTTCCTGATCTGCATCATCTCCTATTGTCAGCCCTTAAGGACCCCGTGGGAGAAAACCCTTTATTAAGCTCTCTGCGCCAAAGGCAACTAGGGTTTCAGTACAGATGCCATGGTCCATGGCGAGGACCCTGAGTTTGTCAGGGGTTTGGATTCTTGTACACAGACACAACACGGCTGCCCAAGAAGAGTGAGGAAGATGGGAAGGAGTACCACTTCATCTCCACAGAGGAGATGACTAGGAGCATCTCTGCCAATGAGTTCTTAGAGTTTGGCAGCTACCAAGGCAACATGTTCGGCACTAAGTTTGAAACAGTGCACCAGATTCATCAGCAGGGCAAGATTGCCATCCTTGACATCGAGCCCCAGGTGGGTACATTAGGCTGGGGAAGGTAGGAGAGGGGTGGGAGTGGGAAGGAGGGGGTCAATGGGGAAAAAGGGGGGACATCTGTAATACTTTCAACAACAAAAAATATAAATAAAAAACACACTACAATGTGCAAAAGGGAAAAAGAAAGGCAGGAGTGGGCGGGGAGGGGCTGCTGACAAGTAAAACTCATGGGAATCTCTGGGGAGCTCAGATTTGCTTCATATACTTTCAGTGGGGTCATCTGGAAGAACAGCAATACAGGAAATGATGGAAATAGTACTGGGCTTGGTGAAGCCCAAAGATGCTGACTAGAAGGAATGCATCATAACAGCTGACAAATGTTTTTCGTCTTTTCTTCCTTCCCCTTCCTCTTTTCTAGACTCTAAAGATTGTTCGGACAGCAGAACTTTCACCTTTCATTGTGTTTATCGCACCTACTGACCAGGGCACTCAGGTGGGAAGGAGGGGATTGTGCAGGGTGGGTAGGGTTCACTCGCTAGGCCTGTCCAGACTGGAACATCACTCCAGATCATTGCCCAGAGTACTGGCTGGAGCTCAGCTTCAGCTTGTGACCAAATCTCCCTGTGAGTCTACTGACTACTGCTGTCCTTCCTGCAAGGCCAAGAAGCTAAAGGGTATATGCACATTTGATTCACTCAGCAGACAGTAAACTACCAGCTAGGCCAGCAACCATGCTATGTAATGGGGACACAGTCATTGTTCCAGAAGTACCCAGGGTCCAATGGCAGAGATGGACAATTAAGTAAATCTTGACACTCTGGTGTGACATTGGCTCAACTGGGGCATGCAGGGGAAACCGTGGAGACTGAACCCACCTTCTGGTGTGGGGTGGCTGTGGCTGTGGGGAGCATGGGAGAGGAGGGAAAGGAGGCCAGGAAAATATTGAAAAGTCTCCCCTGCTCCCCACTCCTACCTTCTCCACACCCACCATACATACACTTTGCTGCACCCTGCTTTTTCACTGAACACAATGGAGATCTTTCTGTATTAGTGTGTAGAGAACTTCTTCGGTCTTCCTTAGTAACTGCATGGACTCCCATTGCAGGTATGTAGCATAATTATTTTGTATCGCTGTTCCCTTCTATAGGCTATTTGGGTTGTTTTAAAATTTGGACTGTTATAAATAACATGGCAACCAATGGCCCTGTACATATTCCATTGCACATGTGTGCAAATATATCTGTAAGAAAAATTCCAGACAGGATTGCTGGGTCCAAGTCTGCATGCTTTGGGAACTAGGAATTCAGATAGAGATTACTACCTGGGAGAGTGCTTGCTTCTCTGTGCCGGGATCATGTTTTCCAAGCTTTCATTTTGGGCCAATCTGATAGAGAGAAAATTGGAATCCCAGTGTACTTTTATTTTGTACTATAAGCAGTTGAGTATCTTGTCAGACTCTTGAGGGCCATTTGTATTGCCTTTTCTGTTAACACCTGGTCCTTAGCTTATTGTTCTGTTGAGTTATTGGCCTTTTTCCTACTGATTTCTAAGAACTCTGTATTAGGGTAATTAGCTCTTTGTGATATCAGTTGAAATACTTTTTTTTTTCCATTTTGGCATGTCTTTGGGTGTTTATTGCTACTGAAACATTTTTCTTTGATGGAGTTCACTTATCACTCTTTTCGTGGTCTCTTGGTTTTGGGTCCTAGAAAGAGGGCTGGGGTTCTAAGTTGCACTTAACCCTGTCCTGGGATTGCAGCTCTTGTGGCTGCTGAAATGGCTGTCCACATTCAAAGGCAAGAACTGGGAGATAGCTGTTGGTCTTCCAGAGAGCTTTGATTAGTTTGAGGGTTAGTTTGAGATGCTCTGAGAATTATTCATAATTGAATGCCTCTCTGTGCCCTTCTAACATTCTCAAGCAAGGTCTTCAGAGGTTGTCTCTAAGCAGGTGACTGGGAACCAGGCAATGGTTGCAACAGTCAACACCTGCTTAAAAGCTGTCACTAGCTTCTGGGGCTGGGCATGCTGCAGGCTGCTTCATCTGTGGCTCTCTCTTTGCAGACGGAAGCCCTGCAGCAGCTGCAGAAGGACTCGGAGGCCATCCGCAGCCAGTATGCTCACTACTTTGACCTCTCACTGGTCAATAATGGTGTCGATGAAATCCTTAAGAAACTGCAAGAAGCCTTTGACCAGGCGTGCAGTTCTCCACAGTGGGTGCCTGTCTCCTGGGTTTACTAAGCTTGCAGAATGGAGCTAATGTATGCCTGTTCCAGTATTTGGAACTCCATTCCCCTTGCTTTAAGACAAACAGGGTCGCTCCAGCTAGTTTTGTGTCGGCTTCCAGCTCTATGCAACTATCCTAATTAGGCCAGTGGGTGTCAGTCTTGTTCAAGCTTCTGAAGGGCTGGGCTCTTGTTTTCCTGATACATGAGGCCTCATTGATCAGAATTTCAAAAGATCTCTGAAAACTGAGGCCAGAAGCACTATCCAAATTCAAATGTTAATCAAAGATGGCACACAAAGGGGAGGAAAAGCAATGGACCCTGTCCCTCTAAAGCCTGCGCTCCTTCTCCTTTAATCATACTGGACATTTCATTTGTCTTTATTATGAGAAAGCCTTTTTCTCACTGCAACTTTCTAAAATGCCAAACTGAAACAGCTGTGCAATAGGGTGATGTCTAGGAAAACCCTCAAAAGCAATAAAAATATTAGTTAAAATACCAATAACCTTGTACCTTTCTGGGTTTTTGCCTCTGGAAAGAAATGACCCACTTACTTAAGCTCCTGGAGGATGGCACCGACACCAGATGCCTCCCTTAAGCCTTGAACAATCTTAAGGGTTTAGAGGTCAGAATTATCCTATCTCTTGTGTGTGAGAGTGAAGGTAGGGTGTCCATGTGCTGGGCAGGGCACAATTTGGTGCATTATGACAGGTATGTGTACGTGTACACATGCAACATGACTGTCCGGTTTTGCTCCATGGGGAGGTAAGCAGCAAATATCTTTGCTTCTGCTTGTAACGGCCTTCGTTATGACATGCCTACCCAATCTTACCATTTTTCCTAAGTCACTCCTTTTAGCCTTTATTCGCAAAACATGGTTTTTAGAGAATCCACATGACTGGCTGCCCAGATTAAACTCTCAACAGCTAAAACAAACAACTGCTAGGATTACAAACACCCTCAAAAAAACCCAACCCCCTGTCCTGGTATTTACACAGGTCTTATCCTGGAACTCATCACGGGCAGGCATATTGACCTTCCTGCTAATACAGAGGCTTACATTCTGGTCACATTCAGAGAAGGGGCTTCTGGGCCTAGGGGTGGATCCCGGGCACTGGGGTACACAAAACCTGCAAAGGCTTCTTGCTGCATCTGGAGACTCCCTGCACAAGCTGTTCCTCATATTTTCAAGGGTTTTGGCACCAAATTGGAAGCAATCCTAGACCTCACCACGGCTTTCAGATTCACCATCCCCGGGTTTTTGCCACTCACTGGGCCATCAACGTAAAGCTTCATTGGGCTCCCACTGCTGAGTTGGAGCCCAAAGTATTTACAGATATTTGAAGGCCTGTAAGATCTGGCTCTTTCCTGCTTCCTTGGGCTTTCTCTAGACACACACACACCTTCTACCAGATCCATAACATAATAGCATCAAATTTCAAATATGACATAAAGGTCCCTTGATTTTTAATCAAATCATTTTATATTTTTTGTTCTACTAGTTTGAAATCACCACCAATTAGAAAACCCAACAGGAATACTTAAAAAACATAGTAAGCAAACTTTAATAAGTAAAAATTACAACCTTCTCCCAGCAACAGCTGATTACATCTTTTGGAAGTTAAGAGAATAAAAACGAGAATACATTTTGAGCTCTGTCACAAACACAAGTAGGTGGATTTAGGTACATGAGGCTGTACATACACACTTGACTAAGTGCACAAACAACTGCTATGTCAGAGGGACTGGAATTAGCTGAGAAGATGAAAGACCATGAGTCCTTGCCAGCCTTTACCTGGGAGATATATGGAGTAACAAAGGTGGAGCTGACAACAGACTAGACCATGTCCTCACAGCACACTGGAGATTGAACCCTCCCCCCAGTAAACATGGTTGTTATATTATTTTACTTGCTCTACACCTTTTCACTGTGCAATTTTTACAAACTTTTTAACAGAGGGGCGTGGGGGAGTAGCAGAAGCAAAGGAGTGAAGGATGATGATGTTAAAACGGCCGTCAGAAAACAGCTGCACATGGTTACTGGGCAGTGCAGGGTCTGAAAGCAAGGCTTCCCAACTCTCCCAAGTAGAGAACTGGGCAGTGTCAAGTCTGCTTCCTATACCCATATCCTTAAAACAGGACAAGATGGACGACCACACCAGTTAATATCACTCAAGTCTCAGCAGCTAAAATGGGCCTCAACTCTCCACTCTTTCTGGAACCTATGGGACCTATGTTCCACTCCCTCAAGAACAAAAGGAACTGTTTTCTCAATAAGGCTTTAATTTCTCCTCCCAGCTGGACACAGTGCTTTAAAGTGATCTCCACTACTCAGAAACTACTTCCACTTTTATTTTCTTCTTCTTCTTCTTCTTTTTGGTGGTATCACTGTCCTGGGAGAAAGAGAAAGAAAGCTCACAGAATCTGTTAACAGAACCACTGCCACTCTCCCAAAAGGAAACCATCAGGGGAAGTTCCACAGTCAAGTGCCTTTTCAGGATCTGTAAGGATAGCCTGGGTTAACCATTTTTGCACATAACACAAAGTCCTGAGCTTTTCAGCGGTACCCCAGTGCTCCACTTTTACCAATAGGAGCATTCAGGTTCCCAAGCTACACATCCTCCCCACCTACCATCAACAAAATTCTAACCATGAGTTATTGTAAAATGCCAGGGCCTGTCTCTGTACATCCCACGGGGTAGTAGGGGAGCAGAAGCACTCCAGCAATACAGGGCAGCTCCCCGAGTAACCAGGCCGGCACCAACTGGGCAATTCACCCTCCACCTCCAAACCACCACCACCAAGGACTAAGGGAGCTGAAGTATCCTGAACATGCTTATACATACCCCATCTCCCGGCTCGCTCACACCCTCCAGAGCAGCTTTGGCCTTCTTATCCTTCTTCTTCTTCTTTTCCTTCTTGACTGGCTGTGGAGACCCTGGCGAAGTCTCATCACTTTCACTCTCTCGCTTCCGCTAAGGTGGAGACAATTTGATCAATTAGATCTTTTTTTTTTTTTTTTAATCCTCACCCGAGGACATTTTTGCATTTATCTTCAGATAGAGCAGGAGGGAGAGAGGAAGTAAGAGAGGGAGGGAAACATCAATGTGAGAGACACATCAACTGGTTGCCATCCACAAGACCCCAACAGAGGCCAGGGACAAACTGAAACCAAGGTACGTGCCCAAACCCAGGACCCTATGGTCCGCGGGCCAATGCTCTAACAGCTGAGCCAAACTGGCCAGAGTTTAAATGTTAGATCTTAAGCAAAAATGGATGAAAAAGGTTTAGTGAGTCAAAAGGTGGGAAGCCACCAGAAAAGATCCTGACTGGGTACAACAGGAAGTTTTCTAATTATGAACCCCAATGGGTCCTTAAATTTACCAAGGATTCAAATATGGTCTCATCCACAAAGAGCAGGAAGCCATGGGCACCACAGGAGTACCAAAGCAGCAGCAGAATGGAGCTCAGGGAATGAATGGTCCTGAGCAAGCTGTTTTTCTGGAGGCCAACCCTCACTAGTATACAAAGTTGAATTACATGTCTCCTAGGGGTGCTCCCATGAGTCCTCAAAGGTGGCAGGCAAGGCAGGACAAGCTCTTCCAGACAGCTTGCTTTAGGTCATTCAGTGCCACACATGTCATTGTGTGCTGTAATGCCAGTGGTCCCCAACCCTAGGAAGCCTAGCTGCCACCACATGTTCTCCTTAAACTTGTAACACTGAACTGGTGCCACCTAGAGACAGTTGCCAGCCTCAGGTGGTATTGCTCCTACTGAGTCCCATACAAGTGTCACAGCCTCCGATTTCAACACACATGTGCCTTCACTTGACCCAGGGTGGGGGCTAGAATATGCACCCTCAGTTTCACTGGTATTGCCTAAGCTGTGGGGGAAGATAAGGCCAGTCTGATTCCCCAACCCACATTTCTCCCAGCAGACACAATAGGAAAGTGAATTGGCACCTTTGGGCCCAAAAAAGTACCCTGAGGTACAACACGTCATCTCCCTGTGCACCTCGCACCCACAGGGGTGGAAGGCCCTGCAGTACTGAGCCAGGATATATTATGGCTAGACTGCACAGCTACCAGGATAAGCCAAACAAAACCATCTCCCGAAACAGCTACTTACCTTTGAGGCTTTTGCTGTTTCAGCAACTACCTCTGTCTTCACAACATCACTGAAAGGAGAGGTAGCAATTGGTTAGATTCAATGAACAGCTTTCCATGAAGGGACTGCTTCACCCGCAGTCAACCAGTAGTATCTGGCAAGTCTAAAGCCACCATCAAAGTACTGACGCTGGACACAAGAACTTACCACTTACTGTTGCAGACTGACTCCCTCTAGAGTCCCACAAGCCAGACTAGAAAGGGATAACTGTCTGCTGCAGAGGCCCAAGCAACTGGCCTAGACAGTCAAGGTGAAGCAACCTGCTGCTATCCTACAGCACCCCCAAGGCCTCGTGAATGGCCACACAGGTTCCTGATCCCACATTTAGCAAATACCCTCCCTCCATCCAACTAAACCTGCCTCCCACTCCGCACACCTGGGCCCGGTGACCTCTTGTCCTCATTTGTAGTTGATGTACTCGTCCAAGTGGCTAGCATGCTGTATCTACCCCTCCAAGTCCTATATCCTCCTGTCCTCACTGCCACTGACATCCTCACCTGTAGTTGGCACACTACTGCATTCAGGCGAGTGTGCAGTCTCTGCCTGTCCTGGGTCTCTAAAACGTCCTACCCTCACCTGTAGTCAACATATTCCTGTATCCAGGTGGCAGGCGTACTGTCTGTGGGCTTGCCATGCTTGTCCAGAAGGCCCTGCTTGATCATCAGCTTCTTCTGACTTGCCTGGTGGACGTCAGGATTTCAATGTCAGGACGGTGTCAACACATATAGCAGGTTATTAGGACTGCACGCTCATGGCCCAAATAAAGTTTCTCCCTTGTGCATTCTCACCTGGGCCTTACACTCATCTATAGAACACTCAAAATTCACCCCCTCTTTCCAACAGGCACAAACATGGCACTTGTTAAAAGTAATAAAGCTTACTATTTTATTGATAGCCTCAGAAGTGACATTTTGTGGCACAGGGCCATTGTAACATACTATTCCAGCTGCCCTGGATTTATCCCTCCCCTCTTCACCTCATTAATACCTAATGTTACTTCCTCCACACTGGCACGGCTCAAGTGAAGCTCCCTTACCTGGATCCCCTCAAACAGGTCAAACCCCTCACTGTAGACTCTCGAGGTACCAGGTACCTCTGCACTCCTTGATAAGCCCTCAATTTGGCTAAAATTCACCATTCTATTGTGCAATTTGAGTGATGCTCATTTGCTTCCTCCCATTACACTGAAATCTCTAAGGTCTGAGATGGGTCAGTTCCTACTCAACATCCACTCCCCCAGGGCCCAGCACAAGGCAAAGCTGTGGCAGTGGGGTCACACCAAAAGCTGCCCAAGTATTCAACAATGCTAAACAAAATAACTTGGCAAGACACACGACCAGTCCCACTTACCTTTGGACCTAAACCCCACTTCCGAGGGTAAGTGTCTCTTTCCATGATCACTCTCTTGATCTTGGCTACTATCCCATGGTCGCAGGTAGAGATCACTGCTGTGGTCATTAATGCAATCGCTGCAGGTGTCATAAAGAGAAAAAATAATGATTTAAAGGGGAAAGACTTGATAACTGGTAAGCCTGAATTCCACTGTTTCATACAACTTTTTAAAACTCTAAGCTCTACTGCCTTAAGGTGTCCTTCACTGAGGATGTACACATGGATGTGCAGACAAGGAGTGGACTATAGGCTCTTCATTGACAACCACGGACTGTTCTTAATGATTTCCTCTCTTCTCTCTGGAGAACTAAGCTACTGAGACATGACCTCCAACAGCAGCTAGAGGGACAAGGGGAAATTTTACCTCTTCCTTGTCTGTGCCTGTCTGACATAGCCCTTTGCTGTGACCACCCTTACAGACCCTTGGCAATACAGTGAAATCAAACCAAGGGACTTGACTGTGATGGTACAGAAGGAATGAGGACGACTTCCCCTCTTACCTATGCAGATCGCTTCCCCTTTGGTGGTGATCACCACGATCTCCTGATTGACTTCAATGCCATCCTCATATCGGAGAACACCTGGAAGCATGATCTTTGCCCCGTAGCAGATTGCATTCACCTACAAGGATGGCATCACTTGTGAGAGTCCCAGCCACTGCCCTCAACCCCACAGTCACACCAGAACAAATTCAGACAAAGGGGTGGAGGCCTGTGAGCATCTCCCCACCTGTGAAATGGGGCTAACACCATCAACAGCCATTGGCTGCAATCAACATGTGAAGGGACACTAAATAGTAGCAACTCCTCGCCACACACTAGGCACTTTACAAACGCTGACTTAAAAATGTTACATAGGACTTAAAATAGCGACTCCTTCTTTGTCTGTGGAACTTAAGGATGTTTTCATTTTATATCAAAGCCCAACCTTAGTTTCCCTTAATTGATCTTCTTTTCCTTACCATTAAGGGGAAAAACCTTGACAGAACTAGGAGACTTATTAGATCTACTAGGAGATTTGGGTAGTAACAGGTTCCCAAAGTAACTAGCAAGCAAGATTATCAAGGCTACTGAACCAACTACACACAGGTTTTGGCATAATGCATAGGCCAACTGGTACATGGTTAAGGCCACCTCTCCCTGAGTTCAATGGCACTCAATGCATCCATCTGCCTTGTCCTATCTAGATCTCTTTTGTTGACCATATTCCACCCTCACCTTAAATTTACCCAGAAGACACCAGTTTGATCCCAGCAAAAGGAGAGTATATATTTATATCGTCGTTGTATGTATTTAAGTGTTTTCAATCATCAATCATAGTAACATGTTTTAGTATACTCCTTTGTCTTGTCTTTTATTATGAACAATAACAAGAGATACATCAAATATCTAAATAAGATTTGAATATGAATGATAAACCTCAAATTATTAAATATAGCCCTGGCCAGTTTGGCTCAGTGGTTGGAGCGTCAGCCTGCAGACCAGAGTCCCAGGTTCAGTTCCCGCTAGGGGCACGTACAAAAAGAAAATTATTAAAGATATACATTTATATTCTTCAAAGTTTGAGAATTTTTTTTATCACTACGTGATGTTTCACAAAAACTTAATTATGCAGTTGGCCACAAAGGCAGCCTTAATTAATAAAAATTTATTTTCTGCTCATAATACCATTAGAAATAAAAAGGTTATTTATAAAATTCTGGCCCTGGCCGGTTTGGCTCAGCGGTTAGAGCATCGGCCTGCGGTCCTGAGAGACCCGGGTTCGGTTCCCGCTAAGGGCGCGTACCTCGGTTGCAGTTTGTCCCCGGCCCTGGTCGGTTGTGCGGGTGGCAGCCACTCGATGTGTTCCTTTCACATCGATGTTTCTCTCTCTCTCTCTCTGTTCCTCTCTCTCCCTCCCACTCTACCTGAACAAAACATGGAAAAAATGTCCTCCGGTGAGGATTAAAAAAAAAAAAAAAAATTAGTAAAATTCTGGACTTCTTGGAAAGAAACTAATACTTAAATCACTACTAAAAGGAATCCCAAGCTGACAAAACTAATTGCATACTTACTTGCATCATTAAGAGGACTACTCAACGTTATGTGATAAATATGCTAAGAAAAAAAAGGCTTGAGCTTGGCCGGTTTGGCTCAGTGGTTGAGCATCAACACATACACCAAGAGGTTACCGGTTCGATTCCCAGTCAGGGCACAGACCCACGTTGTGGGCCAAAACCCCAGTGGGTGGCATGCAGGAGGTGGCCAGTTGATGTTCTCTCTCATTGATGTTTCTCTCTCTCTCCCTCTCCCTTCCTCTCTCTCTAAAATAAAAAAAAATAAAAAAATTTTGAAAAAAAAAGAAAAGGTTTGAAAGGCCCAGTGATGTTTAGGTTTTATGAACTCAAACTAGTAGTTATTTAAACAGAATAAAATTTTATGAGATTCCCAAACGAGAAATAACTTAAATCTTTGAAATTCTCTGGTCTCAACTTTTTTTTTTTTTAAATGTTTTACTGATTTTTTAGAGAGAGAGAGAGAGGAAGGGAGAGATAGAAACACCAATGTGAAAGAGACACATCGATCAGCTGCCTCCTGCACACACCCACCGGGGGACTGAGCCCTCAACCCGGCCTTGTACCCTGACCCGGAATGGAACCAGGAAATCTCAGTCCATGGAACAATGCTCAATCCACTGAACCACACAGGTCGGGCTAGTCTCAACTTTTTATCCCTATCAAAACCACCTTTTCTAGTAGTAATTTAAATAAATCAGTTTACTAGGCACATGCAGGACTATGAGGTTATGGAAGGCAAATTCTATGTACCACTGATAGTCTATTTCTTAAGCCAAGTTACTTTGGGAAAACTCTTAGGAAAGTATGTTTTATTAATTTGCCTTATTTAAAAATAGGCCTAGCCCAGCTGGTATAGCTCAGTGGTTGAGTGTTGACCCATGTACCAAGAGGTCACCGGTTTGATTCCTGGTCAGGGCACATGCCTGGGTTGCGGGCTCCGTCCCCAGTAAGGGACGTGCAGGAAATAGCCAATCAGATCTGTTTCTCACACCACTGTTTCGGTGTCTCTCTCCCTTCTCTAAAAAAATCAATAAGAACATATTTAAAAAAAGAATAGCCTGGCTGCTGTGGCTCAGGGTGACATGAGTGTCGACCCATGTACCAAGAGGTCACTGGTTTGATTCCTGGTCAGGGCACATGCTCAGGTGTGCACCTGATCCCCAGTGAGGGGCATGCAGGAGGCAGCCAATCGATGTTTCTCTCTCTCCCTCCCCCTTCCTCTCTGTAAAATCAATAAAGAAAAAAAATAAATAAAAATAGGCCTAGCATTAAACTTTTACTTTAAATCAGTATGTGATTTTGATTTAATAAAAAAGTTAATCATAAGTGTTTCCATTAACACAAAAGGAAAAAGAACCCAGTGTCCAATGTACAAAACAAAAGAAAAAAGACAAACAACACTAAACTCCCAAGGAATTTAAGTTCATGACATTATATTTTACCTCTTTAAATAGAAAAAGTTTTCAGGACATGGACCACATCTTGTCTTTGAAGTCACATTTTGGCCCTGGCTGGTTTGGCTCAGTGGTTAGAGCGTCAGCCTGCGGTCCAGAGAGACCCGGGCTTGGTTCCCGCTAAGAGCATGTACCTTGGTTGCGGTTTGTCCCTGGCCTTGGTTGGGCCCTGCAGGAGGCAGCCACTCAATGTATCCCTTTCATGTCGATGTCTCTCTCTCTCTCTCCTTCCCACTCTATCTGAGCAAAAAAATTGAAAAATGTCCTCGGGTGAGGATAAAAATAAATAAATAAATAAAATAAAGTCACATTTTGTCCAAACACAGACTTGAAACCCAGAACTTACTGCACTGTCTTTCATAACCAGCCGTTTATGAGATGTCAACAGCTTTTCTAAAGGGTAAACAACTCGCCGCAGGTAACTCTCATCCTTGTGGTTATCATACAGCCACTGGGCATCAAGCACATCGTGCATTGTCACCATGTGGTCCTGAAAAACAGCCATGTATAAAAATTATTCATTGTCATTGATCTCAAATAGCCCAAAAGACCCCAAACTTCCAAAACCTGAATGAATTTAGAATTGTCTGCTAATCCAAGTTCATTAGTCTTCAGTCTCTTTGGACATCTTTAACCTGCTGATACATTTAAATCTGAGCAAGCATCTTTGTGGGCTGGCAGGTAAATGAATAGAGCAATGCTTTCTATCCAATCATCTCCCCTAGCCTGTGTTTCAATGTCCCAAAGTTTAATTATCAGAACAGGGAAGCTGCCCTGAACTGAACTCAACACTTTGGAAATTCCCTTTTCCAGGACATGAAGCAGGTGGAGTTCCACCAAAAGCTAGAATATACGGGGTGGGGCAAAAGTAGGTTTACAGTTGTTCGTATGGAAAATAATACAATAATTAATAAATAATAATACAAGAATAAATTGTTTTATGTACTCTCAACTGTAGACCTACCTTTGCCCAACCCTGTATAAATTACCAACTCTAAAACTGCTAAGCCCACACTGTTACCTTTTCACTCATGACTCCAGAACGAATCCTCCGAAGTTCCTGCATCTGACCACCAACTCCCAATAACAAACCAAGGTGTACACACAGCGTCCGAATGTAGGTGCCGGCCTCACAACTCACCCAAAAGATTCCTAAGATACACACACATTTTCCAAAGTAAACATATCACCAGTTGAGAAACCCAGTTATACTTTATCTAAGCCAGAGAGACTAGAGACAATAGATACAAGCTATGACTGCACCATAGAATAAGGGCATCCACTTTTAACAGAGTTTATAATTTTCAAGAATCCATTCCTACCCATGTATATGGTCTGTTAATTCAGTTCCTCACAGGCCTAATGACCCACCTAATCTTCTTTCAGGATCATACTCAATCATTTTGCTCTCGTAGATGGTCCGCACTCGAAGTTGCCTCTTTACTGCAGCAATAAGTGGGGGTCGCTGGAATAAGGCACCCGTTAGAGTTTCTAGGGCCTGAAGAGTAAGCACAAATCAAAATAAAGACTCTCATTACATGGACTCTCCAAAGATCAAAGGGCATATTTTGGGAGTTTAAGAACACAATTGAGCCCTGACCAGTTTGGTTCAGCAGTTAGAGTGTCGGCCCGCAGACCAGAGAGGCCCGGGTTCGGTTCCTGCTAAGGGCACATACCTTGATTGCAGTTTGTCTCTGGCCCTGGTTGGGGTCGTGTGGGTGGCAACCAGTCGATGTGTCTCCCTCACATCGATGTTTCTCTCCCTCTTCCCCCTTCTCATCCCCTCACTCTATCTGAAGATAAATGCAAAAATGTCCTCAAGTGAGGATTAAAAAAACCCCACCACAATTGACATACACAAGATTTGTCAATCATTTAAGATCTAAAATACAAAAATGTCCTCAAGTGAGGATTAAAAAAAACCCACCACAATTGACATACACAAGATTTGTCAATCATTTAAGATCTAAAATACCCTTTCAAATTCTCTTCTCAGAAGGGACATGGCCAGAAGTGCCCCTGCCATCTGTAGTCACCAGTCCAGGCTGGCTAGGGCAGCCCACTAAAAAGGGCACAGGAGAGGGCAGCCAGGAAAGCTGACCCGTCTCCAGATGCCTAGGGGCTCAGAGATCCAAGTCAGCAAAAGATGCCCTCCCTATAATTACAGACTTACCCTAGAAAGCTGAGTCCCCCCTTCAATAGCATTGTGCAGCCGGACAATTCCCACATACTCTTTGCCTGAAAAATGACAAAAGAGTAGTCAGGTGTGGCCACTGACTTTTCTGTATTTTTTATACTCATATCACTCCCATTTTGTGCAGCAGGAAAAGCCTTTGACCTTCTGTCTCCGTAAAATTTGCGTCAAGACAGATTTCACGGGGCAGATGTGGGAAAGGAACGATATTTTCTCTCATGGGGAGTTCAACTTTCAATGTGCTGACAAGGACAGTTGGAATACCTAGTGTAGAGCCTGCCTGGAAAAAATTCTGCAAGGTCAAGGAGAATTTTCCCAGATGAAAATACAGAAAGGGCACTTTAGACAGAAGCAGCAGCGTGGAGTCAGAGGAGCCTGGACTGATAAGCTGAGAGCTGGACTCACAGGTCTGCCTCAGTGCTAGAACAGATGTAGTTGGCTTGATGTGCACATGCCTAGTAACCTAGCACTCCAAGAAAGGGCAAAGAACACAGAAGGTACAGAGGAAACAAGAGTATCCCTCCTTGGGACTTTTTTTTTTTACTAATGAAGAAATCAATTTCAAGAGCCAAAATGAAGAAGGGAAATACAGAAAGACTTCCAATCTCAAATTAGTCACCTCTTCCACATACCTGCACTCTGTTGTGATTTTACCAAGCGAGTGGCTCGTTCTATGCACACGATTAAACAGCCAGTCACCTTGGGATCCAGAGTACCACTATGTCCTGTCTTCTCCACCCGAAGTATTCGTCGGATCCAGGCTACCACCTCATGGGAAGAGGGGTTGGAGGGCTTGTCAAGATTAATGAAACCTGTCCTAGAATGGAAAAGAAATTGATGGGTATTGGTTCTGGTCTCCTAATAACAACTGAATCTGAAGAGGAAAAAGAAGTTTACCATGAGTACAGGTGGTATGATATCTAAGACAATTCCATTCTAAGATGCCATTACCTCCTTGAATAACTGATATAAAAACGGTTATTTGGAAAAGAACATATGCTTGCTCCCAACACACTTACCTGATATAATCCCCAATCTCCCTTTTCAGAGGATTTGAACCACAAGGAAGAGGTGTATAATGTGTCGTCCTTATATTTAGCTTATCAAAGTTCTAGAAAGCAAATGACACAACACAAAGTAAACTCAAGAAACCATTAATAAATGTAAAACAAGAAATCAGCCCACACCACCAACTGTGATATAATTACCCTTCAAGTTCACAAACTTGGATTTTGTTCCTGTATTTTCTTTAACTGCTGTGACAGGCTGTTATGCCTCTTTATATATTAGAAAAAATTACTAATGAGTAATAAGACAAATGTGATTACTCCTCTAGAAAGAGACTTCCTGGGGTACTACAGAGCAAGCTGGGCTTCACCATGCAGGTTTATGAAAAAAGTATGGACTAGCTTTGATTTTCTTAGGAACAAAAGATAGCCATATCAAGGAGGACTGGCAGCAATGTTTCTCAAAAATAACTAGCTTGTTCTTGCTCCAGATGCTCCTCTCTCTGCTTTTCTCATGTCTGCTCCTTTTTACTCTTTCTGTGGCTCAGTCACTGGTCTGAAAGAGCTCCCCTCAACTGAAGCCCACCTTTCATATCCAGTTTAATTTCTTTATGGTGTTTACCACACATAGCAAGTATTTTAACTACATTAACAGACCACCTCTATATTTAAGTTCTACGATGGCAGGGCCATTGCCTACCAGGTTCACTAGTATATTCCCAGGGCCTACAATAGACAAGCAGATGCCATCTAAATGGCAGGCATCTCTGGCTGAGCAGAAACTCAACTGTGTTGAAATATATGAGCAAATTTCATTCCTTTATCATATACATATGTTTTATTAAAACACTTTGTCAAGGGGTGTTCTCAGTAACTTTTTCTACCTTAACCTTTTTTTTCTCCTAATCTCAGAGCTAATGTCCATTCAGTCATTTGTGAAACTTGCAATTCAACTCATTATAGACTGCACTATTTAAAACCCCATTAAGGCCCTGGCTGATTTGGCTCAGCAGTTAGAACGTCAGCCTGCAGTCCAGAGAGACCCGGGTTTGGTTCCCGCTAAGGGCACGTACCTCGGTTGCAGTCTGTCCCCGGCCCTGGTTGGGTTGTGTGGGTGGCAGCCACTCGATGTGTCCCTTTCACGTCAATGTTTCTCTCTCTCTCCCTCTCCCCACCCTCCCACTCTATCTGAACAAAAAAAGAAAAGAAAAAGAAAAATGTCCTCGGGTGAGGATAAAAAAAAAAGAAAGAAAGAAAACCCAACTAAGTCAATAATTTCTAAAGGACATGAGACATGTCAGGCACTGTGGTTAATCATGTTCAATGGATTACCCCCTGTAGTCCTCGGCTTAACGTCCTAAAAGAAGATATTATGAGCAAACAGCCGCAAAGAGGTTAAAAACTGGCCCCGGGTCACACACTGCCTGACCCAAACTGGTCTGGCTTTTAAAGCCCATGCTTCTCAAGTGTTAAAGTAGTCCTACTCCATGTGTGGCCCACAATCTGGCACAGGTCGGTAAAGTAAAGTACAGAAACTAAGAACTAATTACTTATAAATGTGGATAGCAGTTTGACATTGTTTTGACATTTTAACTGTATTCTATGACAGTTGGGTGCACTGGAAATGAAAGGAAAAAAACAACACTGGTCCTTCATCTCAGACACCTTGAAGAACACTGCTTTAGACTGTATCACCTGGCATTTCCTAAGTGAAGGATGCTAGCATCAAGCACTCTTAAAGAACTGTTTAACATTTAGAAATAATGTAAAAGCCAGGCACTGACCTGATGTACAATCTTAACCACATACCTTTAGCAACAGGGGCCACTGAGATGTGTCCAACTGAGCTACTTTGGATTCAGGTTTGATAAGAAATTCTCCAACGTGCTGTATTTCCTTCCAGAGGACAGAAACACACCTTATTAGACTTCCCACCGGATTCTGAACAATTCCATTACTATCACAGAAGCCTATGTCCCTTCAACACAAAACAAGTTAGTCTATGCCTCTTCACTGGGATCTCCAACGGAAAGAGAAGAAATGAGTCAGGATTTCAGAAGGGTAAATGAAGTGCCCCCCCCCCCCAAAGTACAGCTATTTAAAGAGAAAGGAATAGTGGGTGTTCAAGTGGAATTAATAAAAAATTTCACAGAAAGCAGTTGGTGTGGCCAACACCATGTAGCAAATTATACATAATAGGAGAGATTTAGGTTGGCTGGGGTATGTACAACTGCTCAATTCTAACTTATTCCTTGTAACCTTTAAAAATAGTTTTTGCCCTGGCCGGTTTGGCTCAGAGGTTAGAGCATTGGCCTGCGGTCCAGAGATACCCAGGTTCAGTCCTCGCTAAGGGCACCTACCTCGGTTGCAGTTTGTCCCCAGCCCTGGTTGGGTCGTGTGGGTGGCAGCCACTCAATGTGTCTGTCCCTTTCATGTCAATGTTTCTCTCTTTCCCTCCCTCCCACTCTATCTGAACAAAAAATGGAAAAATGTCCTCGGGCGAGGATTAAGAATAATAAAATTGCTTACATTTAAAAAAAATAAAAATAATTTTCTATAACTTGTTATCTAGGTGACCTTTACTTTTAGCCAAAACAAAGTAAAATATATTCCTACTCACTGCAACATCTTCTTCTGGTAATGACTTCGGCTCTTTTTTCTTTTTATGCTTCTTTGGCAAAGTACACACTAAACAACAAAAACAAAAAAAGACACCGAGAATTGGGAGTTCTTCCCAAAAATAAAGGCAACAACGCTTAAAACAGAGAACAAAACCAAGGCAGATTGAAAATGGATACTTGGTCTAGAATTACTGAGGAAAACAAAGTGTGTAAGGCCAAATGAGCGGGCTGCACGGCTCAGAAGCCAACTGGAAGCAGTCGCACGTGTTAGCTTCCATTAGATTCACCACGTGGCGGTGGCGGGGCTTCACATGCTACAGAAGCGTTTGGCCCACGTTTCGGAAAGTTCTGTGAGTGACCCCTTGACTGTTCCCGCTTGTGACTTCTAGAACTTTCTTGCGTGTCGACGGTACCTAGCCTCTCAACCCCTCTTCTTCCCTACCCACTCCAACCATGATTTCCTGACCCCGTAGCGCTGACAGCAACACAGGTACTGCTAGGTCTCTTGCCACTACAGGATTGTAGGCATGGCCGCCGCCTTTTGATGGCGACCCGGGCCCTAAGAAGGCTGTGCCGTCAGCGGGAATCCCGGGCCTCCGGGCGCCAGCTCACGGCGAGGGCCTGCCGCGCCTTGCCCCCACCCGTGGAGCCCGGGCCCAGAGGCAAAGATGACAGGAAGCCTAGCAGCTACCGGACCAGCGGAGCAGTTGGAACTAACGGAGAGCTCGGGCTCTGACGCCGTCCCCGGACCCCGGATGTCGAAGCCAGCGGAGCTGGCCCCAGTCGGGAAAGCTCGGCCAAACCAAACGTGGGAGAACGACCCTTACCTTCCACATCCGCCATGTTTCCCCGCAGAACGTGTGAGCCGCGTGGGCCACCGCCAAAAGAGCGATTACAGACTCCCGCCGCCCTCAGGCCGCGCCGCTAAAACCCGCCCACCTGTGCGCCTCCCTGTGCGTGCCGCGCCGCAGGGCGGGGCGATGAAGGGCTTGAGGAGCGAGCGGTCCGTCTGCGCAATCTCATTGGCTGGCTTCCCCCCCCCCCCAGGGCGCGCCTGCGCATGCGCGTGCGCTTTGGGTCTCGACCCCGCCTTCGGCAGCTCGTGCTGGGAAGGCTTGCGCAGCCTGCCCAGACAGCGCGTAGCTTGTGGGCGTGGCCCCAGCCACTGTTCTTGTACCTTCGCTGGGCTTGAGCAGCCGGCTGGCTGAGTGCTCTATCAAGTGTAGCTTGTTGCTGAACTTTTAAGGTTGCAATTGGATCAGTCCCGATTGAAAAATGAAAACATTAAGGCCTTTGCTACTTGCAATTCCTCATCCAGCTAGTTGCTAGCCAATGGGAATGGAGTGAGAGCCACTTGTGGACTTTAAAATTTTCCACCATCCACATGGAGAAAAATAGTGAAAAGATAAAGTTGAAATTTATTTTAATAACGAATTTCATTTAACCGAGCTATCCAAAATATTATTTCAACATATAAGCAACACACAATATTATGAAGGGAATACCTTTTTCACTTTTTTTTTTTTAACAAATCACTCGGGTATATATTTTACACTTAGCACACCTTGATGTGAACTCCACGACCAGGGTCCATAGCAAGTGCTCAGTAGTTGCAGATCACTAGTGGCTGTGGAATTGGACAGCCAGGAACTGGCTCCTGGTTCAAGCCCTCTTCCTTTCTGTTCTTCGGTGCTCTTCTCCCTCTTCTTTCTCTCAAGCCCGGGTTCTTAACCTAGCCTCTGTGGACTTGATTGATCCCTGGTTATTGTTTTTTTTATCCTCACTCGAGGACATTTTTTTCCATTTTTTGTTCAGATAGAGTGGGAGGGAGAGAGAGAAACCGACGTGAAAGGGACACATCAAGTGGCTGCCACCCCCACGACCAACCAGGTCCGGGGACAAACTGCAACCGAGGTACGCACCCTTAGAGGGAACCGAACCCTGTTCTCTCTGGAACGCAGGCCGACGCTGTAACTGCTGAGCCAAACAGGCCAGGGCCCTGGTTATTTCTTTATTGCAATAGTAAATGGTATCTTTTGCCGTTACCTTTTCTAATAAGTTGCTACTGACAAAAGAGAGCAGTTATGCCCTGGCCGGTTTGGCTCAGCAGTTAGAGCGTCGGCCCGCGGTCCAGAGAGACCTGGGTTCAGTTCCAGCTAAGGGCATGTACCTCGGTTGTAGTTTGTCCCCGGCCCTGGTTGGAGTTGTGCGGGAGGCAGCCACTCGACATGTCCCTTTCACGTCGATGTTTCTCTCTCTCTCTCTCTTCCTCTCTCTCCCTCCCACTTTATCTAAACAAAAATAGAAAAATGTCCTCAGGTGAGGATTAAAAAAAGAGAGAGAGAGCCGTTACTGCTTTTCTTCCAATCCTCCCCTGCCAACCAAAAAATAGAACATTTTCAGTTTTGTTTTACTGGGGCTTAAGAAAACAGATGATTGGTTTTTCCTCACATAACTTTTAGTCTACCAAGAATTTATTATGATGTATGCCAAGGCAGTAGTAATAATGATCTATATTGACTTTGTAGACGACCAAGTCCCCGATATCAACCAATCCATGAGTAGTTCATTACTTACCCCATTTACTTTATAATATTTCATTGGTACATGTTTGTCTGAATAAGTTTGAGGTATGCATTGATGGTTCTCCTATGGGCTTCATCTTTCTCCAACACTCATCCCATCTATTAGAGCCTGTCAGCTTTGCTTTCAATAGAGATGCAGAATCTGATAGTTTTTCACCACTCTCACTGCTGTTACTGTAGTGCATGCCATCATTATGGCTCTCCTAGATTTTTTTCAGTGGCCTCCTGCAGTTCCCCTTTCTATTTTTTCCAAATATAGCGTCTTCTCAACACAACAGCTGGAAAGAGCCATTAAACTATGAGTCAGGCCCTGGCCGGTTTGGCTCAGCGGTTAGAGCGTCCACCTGTGGTCCGGAGAGGCCTGGGTTCGGTTCCCGCTAAGGGCATGTACCTCAGTTGCAGTTTGTCCCCGGCCCTGGTTGGTCGTGCGGGTGGCAGCCACTTGATGTGTCCCTTTCACATAGATGTTTCTCTCTCTCTCTCTTCCTCTCTCTCCCTCCCACTCTGTCTGTACAAAAAATGGAAAAATGTCCTCGGATGAGGATTAAAAAAAAAAAACAAAAAAACTATGAGTCAGGCCATGTCCCTCCTCTGCTCAAAGCCTTTCAATGGCTTCCCTTCTGTAATGGGGTGAAGAGTGGCCCCCCCAAAAGATATGTACTAACTCCTGGAATCTATGATTGTGACCTTATTTAGAAAAAGGGTTTTTGTAGATATAATTATCTCAAGATGAAATCATCCTGGATTGCCCAAGTGGGCCCCAAATCCAACAACACATGTCCTTAGAAGAGAAGGGAAAAGACAGACAGAAGAGAAAACCATGTGAAGATGGAGGCAGAGATTGGAGTGATTTCAGTCTTCCAGCCTCTATAGCTGTGAGAGAATAAATTTCTGTTGTTTAAAGCCACCCAGTTTGGGGTAATTTGTTATGGTAGCCCTAGGAAACTAATATACCATCTCACTAAAAATAAAAGCCATACTGTCCCTTGGCTGTTCAGAAGTACTCCAGGCACATTCTTTCCTCTTTCTTAAATGTATCTTGTTTATTGTCTGTCTCTTCACTAGAATATTGGCCTCATGAAGCTAGGAAAATTTTGTCTGCTCTGTTCACTGCTATACACTTGGCTCCTAGAAGATGCTCAGTAAATTTTTTTTAAAAAATTTTTAAATATATTTTTGTTACAAATGTTTTTCCTTTTCCTCCCATTGACACTCTTCTCCCAATCCCCCACTTCAGTAAATATTTGTTGAGTGAATCTATATCTTTTTTGTTGTTGTTATTCAGATAGAGTGGGAAGGGGGGAGAGAGAGAGAGAGAGAGAAAGAGAGAGAGAGAGAGAAACATCGATGTGAAAGGGACACATCGAGTGGTTGCCACCCGCACGACCCATCCAGGGCTGGGGACAAACTCCAACCGGACCACAGGCCGATGCTCTAAACGCTGAGCCAAACCGGCCAGGGCTGAATCTATATCTTTTAAACCCAGAAACCCCCATGGACCTTTCCTTACCAGCAGAAGCAGCTCCTCCTCTCCTTCCTATGAAGCTGATCCTGCCTTTCTTGGAGATCTTGTAATGAAATCGCCTGGCTGGTTGCTGAGCAAGGGGGTGCCAATTCTTGTGCCCTACTCCTCCCATCCTGCATTGTCTCCAATCTGAACTCTCTGAAAGGTGGGAATATGGGAACGAAGTTGTCATGTGCATCCTACTGGCACACCCCTTAACTACATGCCCTGAGAGGGTTCAAAGGACATTCCTTTCACCAAAACACTTAGATGTACTTTGGTGAAGGTTCTGGAAAACTAGTCTGGGAACTGAGGTAGGAATCACTGTCATGGAAACAGGTTTGCGCTCTCAGTGGGAATGATGGGATCTTGGAGCAGCAGAGGCCAAGTAGTGGCTTTCAATCTTATAGAAACAGGATGAGTATCATGATAAGCAGCAGACTGGCAGCTGGAACCAGAGTAGTGTCTCCCCATGGAACTTAGTGGTGGCTAATTGATCATGGTGTTGTGTTAATAGGCCACCTATAGTGAACCATGGTCTATAACCCCAACAATCAACAGCAAAAACTCAAGGTATGGTGAATGGCAGCCCACCTTGAATAGAAAATCATGGCCCTTCATCTAATTCCCAGACCCAGTCAGTTCACAGGTTCAGAGCCCTTAAGTGAAGGTGAGGCCAGGTACATATAGCACTACAGTGTATACTGTGTTTTAAACCTTCCTCCTACTTTCCTCTAGGGACATAGAATGCCACTGTGGTCCAATGGTCCGAAATGGAGTCTTAGTCCATGTCTCTTTCACTAGGGACTCCCCTGTGGCTCTTTCCCTAGTTCCTGATCGCAAAATTGGAATAAACACAATCGGCAGATGGAAAAATTCCCAGAGGCTCCCTGACTCAAGGACTGAAGACAATTATGGGCAGAAAAGTCAAAAGGAAGACCCCCAGCATTGTCCCTTCAATTCTCTAGCACATTATCATAATTAAGTCCCCAGGGACTGACTTGATGGTCTCATTGTCCCCAAGACATTATGTTGGTACACTGCATTAATGCCATCATGGTGACTCAGCCCGATGCATAGGAAGTAGTAAATATTTCAGTACAGGATAAGAGATAAGCCCCAGGGAAATTCAGGGACCCAACACCCCAAACACCTCCATGAACTTTCTGAGCATCCAGTGGGCTAAGGCATATTGAGATGGTTGCTCTGAAGAGAGAAACAACTTGCTGTACCTCAACCCTACTGCCACTAAGAAAGAAGCACAATGATTGGTGGATCTCTTTCTGGAAGTGGCATACCCCATTAGGATGCTATGCAGAGCCTTTTCCACACCTTGATAAGAGAACCACACACAGCTCAGACCTCTGAAATTTGGGATAAAAATAAAGCTAAGACACACACACACACACACACACACACACACACACACACACACACACGCAAGCATCAATTTGCTGGGAGGAAAAATTCCTGACTTGCTTTAGTCCCTGATTGTAAATGAATGACTGCCCGGCTGGTATGGCTCAGTGGTTGAGCATCGACCCATGCACCAATAAGTTGCTGGTTCTATTCCCAGTCAGGGCATATGCCCAGGTTGTGGGCCCAATCCCCAGTGGGGGGCATGCAGGAGGTGGCCAATTGATGTTTCTATCTCTCTCTCTCTCACTTCCTCTCTCTCTAAAATCAATAAAGAAAGGATATTTTTTAAAAAATTAATTAATAAAAAGAAATATTATTCAGCCATAAAAAGAAATGAAGTACTGATACATGCTATAGCATGGAGAAACCTCAAAAACATTGTACTAAGTGAAACAAGCCAAACATACAGGGACAAATACAGGGGTGG